CGACAGTGATCACACAAACGTTCGCTCCTGTGTTGAGGAGGATCCTCGTTCGCTGGTCGTTCACAGCGCCTTGCACCAGAGCTCTCATTCTGATCCGTCGGTCGAATTTCTTGGCCGACCACCACCCCTGTCTCTCGCCAGGGTTCAACTTCATAATCTTGGAGTGACCCTTGGGCTCGTCTCGCGCTGCACTCGAAACCAAGCCGAGCGAACCCTCGCTGGTGCCCTCATCAGCATCAGCACACTCCATTATTTCTCCAACACCTCCACCGAGGATTCTACTCCTCTCCTTTTCATTTTCCGTCGCGTTCACACTTGTTACGTATTTATCAGGCCATTCACTCTGCCCCATGAAAGCAAAGATACACTCTGCTTCCATTGAAGGCTCGGTTAACTGTGGCAGCCCGATAGGGACCAACCCAGTTGTAGTTGGCGGGCTGCCTAGTTTAAATGACGTTCTTGAACGACGGCCTTGAGCTCTGGCGGGAGTTCCTCCTTCGTGCCTTTGGTGCGCACAAATTTGGCAAGGTCTTGGAAGTTGCGGAAAAGTTCGCATTGTCCAGCATCGTGGAGTTGTTTGCAGAACTTGCATCGCTTGTTACAGTAGTGGGCGGAGTGACTCATGCCACCGCACACCGCGCATGGTCCGTACTGTGGGCGTCGGTTGTCGCGGTTGAAGTCACGTCGACCGCGTTGGTCCTGATTGAACCCACGGTCACCACCTCGGCGATCTTGATTGAAGCCATTATCGCGATCAGGCATGTTTCCACGTGGTTGACGGTTGTCTGAACGTGCGTAGGTGCCTTCAGCAGCTGCACGGCGCTCATTCTCGTTAGCCGCGGCGAGGTATCGGTCGTTTTCGTCCAATGAGAAATCACCGTCCGTATTATCAGGCTGAAAGTCGTTGTACTCATCTTGGACATCGTCGTAAGCGTTCGGATCTTCGTTTGAATACTCGGTGCCTCCCTGAGCAGCTTCACGACCTTCTAATTCAGCTAGTAGGTCGTCCACCGTGGCTTCAATGAGTGTCACTCTTGGTTTGTTGCGGTTGTCATCGCGGCGACGGTCATCACGCCGGTTGTTGCAGGCTACCCATCGTCGCGTCGCGTATCACGACTCTTGGAGTATCGGTACTCACTGTCACGCTTGGCCATTCTCTCCTTGCCCTTGAGAACATCTTCGATGATCTCTTCGAGCTCGTGAATGTCGGCGACTCGAGCGTGGTAGAGACTCTCCGCTAGCTTGTCATCGTCGCATGTTGCCAGGAATTGCTGTACGTGTTCTTTCGCGTCGCGACCACTCTTCTCAAAGTGTAGACGGGCGGTCCGAGCGTAGCCATTCAGCCTGTTTATGTAGTCGCACAGATGTTCATTACGTTCCCGCTTGGCGGAGTAGTAACGCGACAGTGCCGTCTGCGTGAACTGCGAGCAGTAGTAGCGGATGAACGCATCGCTCAACAGCTTCCACTTGCGCTTCGTCTTCTTCGGAAGTTGACGGAACCAATGAATGGCTCCGTCCCGGAGACTTAGCTCAAATGGAATGCACCATTTATCGGCATCTGTATGGGTTCCAGTCATTTCATAGACGAACCCACGGAGCCACTGCATACAGTTCTCGCTCTTGTTGCGAGAGCCTGAGAACGGCGTGATGCGATCCAGCGGTCGGTGCGAAGCCATTTCAATCCTCGGTGTCGGGTCTACGTCGTTCAGCGTCGCTAGCTCATTCATCTGACGCATCAACTCGAGTTGAGGATCTTCCTCGTCGAATGTACGCACCAAAATGTCATCGTCACTGGACGAACCATCGCTGTCGACTTGACGACGTCCGGCACCACCTTGGGGGGCTCGCGCACCGCCTCGGCGACCGAACGAACTCTCGTTACTTGCGTAAATGCGTTGCATACGGCTCTCCGAACGTGGCGTAACCATGTGCGAGTCTTGAAAGTACGGTGAAGCTTCGGTAGTGCCAAAGGCACCACGCTCAGCTCCACGCTTGGTCGGAGGAGTACGAACGAGTCGTTGGGGTGTCGGCGGCAGTGGAATCTTAGACGGATCTTCATCTTGAATCATCGGTCGACTCACAGGCTGCTTTCCGGCATTGATGCCAACAGCGCCAAACGCCTTCCGAAGCTTCTTCTTCCATTTCTGGAGAGCAGCTCCTGCTTCATGTGGACTCCAATCCTGGAGCGACATCGTCGATGGGTACGTCTCGTTCTCGAGCCCCAGCGACAACAGTAGCGAAACTGAATCCTCGGCAACTTGTTCCTGCGCAAGCGCAGGCCAGTCGGCCTTTCTCTTGGGGATGGGCTTGAACAGCTGCATCCATTCATCATTCTGCATCAGCGCTTGTACGCGGTCGAAAACGCGCTTGGCGGCTGGTGTATCACCGTTGATAGGTGGGCGAGGTGCCTTCAGCAGTGCTGAATGCTTTGCACTCGCCACCGAAGGCTTAGAACCCTCGGTCCCATCGTCATAATCATCATAGGCCGGTTCCGGTCCCGCAACATCATCGAGCTCGTCGGCGAGGTTCCTCGAAAGGGACCTGGTCGTCCCGCTCAGCCCCGATGATAGCGTGGCCGTTTCCGGCGTCGCTGCGCCTGGCTCTGGAGCCGGCGTCTTGTCTTCGTAATCTTCATAATCGTGGGCGTCAGGACCGCTGTCCGCTTTGTCGTCGAAGCTCACTGAAAGCTCGGTGGCGGCTGCAAAGCGCGCAGCCGGGCTTGAACTCTCGTTGCGAGCCCCGCCAGACTTGGCAGGCGTAACTGGTACCGTTGGCTGTCCTTTCGCCATGTTTCTTGTTTTCGTTTTCTTCTTCTTCTGTTCTTGGTAGCTCGTAAACTGGAAGGCAATACAAACAGCTCACAAATGGTCACAATCTGTTCCCGGGTCGCGGCACCAGTTGTGGTGTTGGAAATCCCACGTGAACTCTAGCTACAAATGTAGTTAGGACGTTCCCACAACAATACGTCTACTAGGATAGTAAACGATCGTTCGAGCGGACCTGAAGACCCCAGTTCTGCCCTTGCACCGGGACAAACTGGACCTTGTAAACTACTTATATAGGCCAACCAGTAAAAATAAGAACACGCTACTAGCACGAGCAAAGCTAGCAGGTGCTATGAATCCTCGTGGTCTCAACGGCGGAAGGGTACCGGGCACGGGTAAGCCTTTTACAAGGTCACCGAGCGTTCAACACTCGGTTGGAAGAATAAAAGGGATGCAATACAAGCAATCCCAGTTGTACAAATAGGCAACAATAAGCCGTCACGTAAAAACCTCCCGATAGTAATCGGCCAATACACAACGTCTCTTGGCCTTGCCGGATGAACCCTCGCTACAGAGCTTCGAGTTCACCGACAGGCATAACACACTCAAACAAGCTTGACCAGACGCTTACCTTGAAGCCGGACGTCGCTCTGTGTGCTTGAGTGGAAATTCTGTTCTGTATTTAAGCTTACCCTTTCGGGTCTATTCCTAATAAGAAGTCCTAATCAAGTATACAAATATCAAGTGAACAATGATCCGTTATGGATCTTATTGCATGCCAAGCGTCGTCTGCACCGTCGCATGAGCATCTTTAACGGTCCGCGCCCTGTCCCAGACGGTTAACGTGTCTTCCAAAGGTCGCTGAGTATTCCGCGAACTCATCCCAACCGCCGCTGAGGGTTCGTACCGTAGATGGTCCGCTGAATGCGAATCCGGCCAGTCCATTATCAATAATAAGGACAGCCTGGATTCAGTGACATAGGGCCGTATCCGATACTTGTTGAAAACTCGGAGGTGACGCCGTCGAGTCCCTTGCACCTTGGCGTCTCCGTACATCACCTGACCGAGGGTTCGTCGCTTGAACAACTTGGGCGGTGTCACGTCTTTGTCGACGGGTGATAATCCGCAACCACGGAGAAATCACTACACCACACATCGTGCGTAGCGCAGCTTCTCCCTCCATCGCCATCGTCACATCCGACAACATCTACACCGGGTATCAACGGCGCTGGCGCTCGCTCCTGTGTAGCATTGCAGGTCATCAGAACACGACATCGAAGAATGCCATAAAGATTCTTACCATGCTCTTCCTACCAGTGTTGGCTGCAAGTGTGTGATTGGACGTTAATCGGGTGGGGGGGCCCAACTCATCGAGGAAGTCTCTTCAAATGTTGCCCATCATTTAGTATAGGAAAACCGGGTGGGGGGCCAACTCTTCGGTGAAATTTGAGGGGGCCAACTCATCGAGGAATTCGGTAGGTGATTTACTCGACTCGCTCTGTTTCTCGTGGGTGATTCGGCTCTTGTGGCATGATAGCTGCGACGTCTGCAATAATGCACTGTTCAACGGGAATTTCTGAAATACGCACGTCAAAGCGAAATGTTATGCGCAAGTATATTCGTAACCTCGTGGAAAGCGTAATTATGGCCACAGGGTGTGTGAACCATGCCCTTGGACCGAGAGCGAGAAAAGCAAGTTGTCCGCTATGTGCGGTGTTGCGAGAGCTGTTTGCCACTTCTGAACAAGTAAACTCCTAATGGCGACGAGATAGTGGCATGTATGTTTCGTCCGTGGGTAACTCCTTCGAGTGCAAGAAGGCGCTCGCTCGGCAGCACCAAGTTAAGAATGAACTTATCCATCTTGCAGAGGTCACTTCCTGGTCCTTGGTCAGTAAGACCTATCAACCGGAGCTGAACGAATCGGTGGGCGTGAGCATCGACTTAGCCGCTATTCCGGAGCCTCCCCCATTGCCGGAAGCAATCGAAGCATTCTGGGGAGAGTTCTCGTGGACAGAGAATCCGTGGACTCCGGACGAGATGGTACCATGTCTGAAGAGCAAGAAGTACGACAGAATTCAGCTCATGTCTATTGAACAACTGGAAATCGTGCGAACTGCAGCGGCAGCCTACACATTTACGGTGCCAGTACGAGAGGGCAGGGCTCCCGATTATGGCATTGTTATTTAATGGGAACCCTTTTTAACCATAAATAATGGCATTGGGCTGCTAGTGTCATCACATACATTATGTCATGTACTGCGCACAAACAATAAATAAGAGCATAATGTAAAGCAAACCAACAACATGTTAATAATTACCGAGTGGCCTCGTCGACAGTCTGAGCTGACCAATACTCACCATTTTGGCGTAAGAACAGCACCATTTCTAATGTAATAGGCTGCAAGCTTTGGCGCTCTTGCCCGTACGTCGTCCTGGTGACGCTAAAGAACCTATCAACAAGGTTAGAAGTAGGTGGAATGCAGCTAAGCAGGTTGTACCGCGGCTGAACTGCTGCTAAACGGCGAGCCTTCGTCTTCACTTTCCTTCGCTTTGCTGCAGTGCGTGCAGGTTCTTCTACTTCTTCCAGGCAGCGGAAGGGCTGCAGCACTGCCTTATCGGCCCTCGTTAGACTTTGGCTCCCTCCCAAGACACGCACACAGTAACCTGGGCTGGCGTGAAGGTGGCGTGGCGGGGGAGCGTGGCAAGGACCATAGTAGCTTAGCGAGATGCTTTGTTCGAGTTGCTCAAATTAAAAAGTGAGGACGTGAGCAAGCTGTGTCGTATAGCTGGCTTAGAGAAGTGCTGGTAGCAGAGAGTTTAAGTACAGTAGTGAAAAGTCATGGTTGGTTGTGAGAGGTACATAATGATAAAGAGGTTTTGTTCATAAATTATGTCGGATGATTCCTTAAGCAAATAAATTATTAATAACATCCAGGTAATCGAAGAAATAAATAATTTTATGATTTCATAAGAAATAATTGAAAAGACCATGCCATAATCGGGAGCCGGGTGGATGATAGCCATCCTTCTGACTTTAACCCGGGTACAGGTCGGCGAACAGTACAAGGAGAAGGTAACAGTAACGGAGGAGCGTCGTGCTAGAGCAGCAGCCAAATGGCATTGAGTAGCGGGTACGACAACAGGATGACATGACACAAGATGAGGAGATTGTCCGGGGTCAGAAGAATGGATTGGTGCTCCGTATCAGCTCCCTAGTGCATGGATAATATGCATGGGAAATCAGTACACCCGTCAAGAATCACAAAATTGTCGGCCAGATCAAGAAGCGAATCACACAGCAAATTCGGGCGGAAAGGCAGCTTCCTGTGAGCGCAGTTCAAAATAAATGGAGAAATTGGAGTAGGGATGATTCATGGGCTTTAGGGCAACAACTGGGCGCATCAAAACATGTTAACGGACTATCAAGTGTGGGTAAACTACCGGATGGCCTGAATTTGTACTATGCAGGAACAACAGACATCCTCGGGTTCCCCCAAGATGCGAGATGTTGAAGTGCAAAGGAGACAATCACACTCGCGTGGGAATGCAGCCAAGCTCAGGGATTCTGGACAAAGGTGGTGTCTCAATGGTTCGGAGTGGAAGTCACGTTGGAAATGGTACAAAAACATACAAGCATTACCTCGCCGCACGACCAACAGCCCCCTGTGGGACAGCGACAACAGGCAAGGATCAGTTGGATGTTTTGCCAATGGAAGCTGGAGTAAGGCCGCATATGGTGGACAATTTGTAGAGTAGGCAATGCCCTCTTGTGGCAGTATCGGAACCCAGTTGTGCACGAATGCATTCACTGCAAGCCCAGCGTCAAGTCGAGTACATGCAGATGAGATGTATCAAACAGCTCCAGGCGGTGGCAAAAAGTAATATGCACCGACCTGACAGTCGACTCCAAGGCCTGCATCTACAACTGTGCTTGGATATCTTAGTGAGGATGCAGAGTGAAAAACTGGGAAGCCGAGGGGCACGAACAGAATTTCACTTGACTCCATGGTGGGCTAAACCACTTTGTCACGCGTCACTGGGGTCCATCTCTCTTGGGACCCAAGAGAGATGAGTAAAATCGGGTGGTCGGGCGTGCATGCTTGTCCTCCTTGAAGCAACGCGTGAGACTGCATTGATGCAAAAAAAAACTAGCACTTGGTCTCAAGACGCAAAACTCCTTTATCAGTGCCAAAAATGTGCAAGATGAGAAGCGATAGTTGCAGTTTTCTACAAGGGAAAGAAAATCTCGGATGCGAGGAGCTTCCAAGTCTATGAGTTATGGCTTGCTAACCCCCGAGAAAGCAGTGGACGTGATCAGCCGTAGCTTCCGTGGGAACCAGCACTGGGTACCGTCCAAGGCGCTGTCTACATGTCTTTCGGTACCTTACCAACGACTTCTCGTTGTGACGACGCCAAAAGATGATCTTTCTAACTTGATCTGGACGAGTGTGTTGGTGCTGGTTTACTGTGCAACGCACCTCGTGGACTCTCACGAGAGTTGGTACGAAGTCTCAGATGCGTGTACAGCGTGGCTGCGGCAACAGCAGCTTTTCGTAGACCAGCGTGAAGATCTCGTGCGCAGTGCCTGCAATCTGTTGAATGTCGGGGACCCTGACCAGCTTCTCTTGACGCTTTTCGCTTCAGTGCTGGAGCCATTTGACCCTGCAATAGCAGAGGAAAATGCCATGCTGCTACGTGAAGGCTGGCAACGATGTTTCTTGAATGAGCCTCCGTATTCTGCTTACTATTGGAACGCCGAGACCAACCACAGCACGTGGCGCCATCCTCTAGAAACTGCGCAAATGGAGCGAGATCTCCAAGAGAGGAAGGAGAAACGGCACGCTTTACTTGCTAAGGTTCTTCCCTTGCGTCTTCCCATTAACCGCGATGCGAAGCCACCCACAGCAGTGCAAATGTGCTGTGAATGTGCTGTACGTAACACGAAACAAGCTGCCGCTGTGCTTTGCCTAGAGTGCGGCTCGAAATACTTCTGCGACGAATGCTGCGATGTTGTGCACTGCGATCGAATCAAACGTAGTCATTTGGCCAGTAGTACTATGCGCTTCCGACCGTGTTTTGGTCGTGCCGGTTTCCCCAAGATCGAGCCAAGACCGCGTACACCGTTCATGATTTACCAGGAGGAGCAAAAGAGACTTCAGGAAGAACAAAGCGAAGTTCCTATCGAGTCAAATCCTCTGGTTATTTAGACTTAGCCGCCCACAAAGAGGACAAAATCTCAGCTAGCTTTTTCATGACTGTGTACTGCATTGTCGTGATGCTTTTCCTCGGCTTCGAGTCCATTACGCAGAGCATCGCGATGACCGTGTCCGTGTTCGCTGCTGTGATAGGAAAGCCAAAGTAGAATAAAATACGATTCGCAGCGCCTTCAGTGTCTCCTAATACGCAAGCGAACGTTCGGAATCGCACGTCAAGCATCGTGTTCCTTGCCAGAAATGGCAGTCCAGACACCATCGCGTGTGCGCAAAAACTCTTCGTGCGGTCGATCATTTGGCACATGGATTCGTTGATACTTGCCAGGGTGTAGTGTTTATCGGCTTGCACAGCCGTGACAGTTGCAATGTGCGCGTCGAACTCTTTGGCAGCGAGATGGCAAATCAACTGAACCTCCTTTTGCGCCCCAATGCCGCGTCCAAGTAAATTGCACTTGGCTATGCATTCATCTCGAGCAGCTTCGTTAGGAAATGTCGGGGCGTAGGGCACGGCGGTCTCTTCATCGTAAAAGATCGGATAGTGCCTTGCACCGTCCGACTCGGAGATCAAACACTCTTCCAAAGGAAGCTCAGTCAATGACACTTCGAAGCATTGTTGAACGAGGAACTGCACCCACTCGGGGTTTCCTTGCTTCACTCCACTGTCGCCAGTACGACGTTTCTCTCGACGCCTCTGCTGGTTGCCACTCTTGCTTGTGCTTGAAGCTGTCTCGAGTGTGAGGTTGCTAGAGACCAGAGCGGTGGCTGCAGCCCAATCCTCTTCACGGATTTCAGCCAGAATCTGAGCGTTTGTGCCAAGGGGCCGTCCAAGAAAACTCAGTAGTTGCAGAACTGTCGGTCGTAAATCCTTCTTGGTGCGTAACACATCGGCCAGGTGCAGGCCAAGTTGACTATTCGCGCTGACCGTGACGTATGAAACTGCTAGGCATGGCAGCAGCAGCTCTGGATCGGGCACTTTGTTGAGCATTTTGGTGCACGAGACGCAGCAGCGCACGAAGCGAACTAGAAGCGGTTCACGTTCCCTCTCCACGACACTCGAGCAAGGCTCGCACACCCATCGACCGCATAAGTGACACAGATAATTCTTCCAGACGGGGTTGAATCGGCGTCCGCAGTGCTTGCATCGCGTCTTCCGGGAGCTGGCGACCTTTGGATCCAGAACCAGCGGCTGGAGCCCGAGACTTCGACGGCGTACGATCAATTGTTGACGCGACAAGCGCTTGAACACGGGGTGGTCTCGAGTGTTGTTCATTGTCTTCGGACCGTGCTATTCTCTTTTTAACACTTGAAACTCCTGGCACGAAAAACTAACCTACCAATAGCCAAACTGACGAGTCACGATCGTCCCCTGAAGTGTTGCCGAGCGCTCGAGCTAACATGTAAAAACCCAAAGAAGAAAGAATCGTAACTTAATAAAAAGTCTTACGAAATCTTCATGGTCCTGTTGGCTTTTCGTTTGTTGTGGATCAGGCAGATCTAACGCTGCTATTGTAGAGGCCCTTTGACCCCCCAGCGCCTACGATAGACTTGAAAAATGAAAACCCAGTCTCAAATGCAAACCCATCCTCCGGCAAAGTGCGGCTGTAAACTTCTTCTTCATACCCGACCCGATCAAAGCGTCGTTGTGCGTCCTGCTGATCCTCATACGGACCACTAAGGGAACAGGCACACATTTGGTCCAGATCTGCTCCCCAGCGGGTCCATACAAAGAACGACGACTGTGCTTTGTCCACCTTCGACTTGCCATGGCCAGGTTCGACGCACTTGATCAACTGCAGAACTCGCAAGTCTCTATCTGCGCTTTTCGCTTCATCTTTAACCTGCTGGCCAGGCGAAAAGAGGTTCCCAACGATCAGCTCTTCGACGCGATACTGGTGGGGCAGTTTCTTCTGCATCGAGGGGTCGATTGTGGTCGCGTAGTTTACGTTCGACAGTGTCGCGGCTTCTCTTCCATCCTGCTGGCTCCCGAATGGAGTCGTTCGTTGATCCTGAGATTCCAAAAGCTGCTGGTTGGCTACTTGGCGATGCAGTCGAGCAAGTTTTCCCCGGATCGTGGTCTGTATTTGCGCTGCTGCTTCTGTCCGGGTACGTAAATGAGCGCCATAACATTTGCGAAACGTACGCTGGATCGTCCGTGCAGCTTGGCGTCGATGAGCCTCAACGCGCCTGGCATCAATCGCATCTAAATGTTGAAACTCTTTTCGCTTTGTAGCGTATAACTTCTCGGTCTGCAGCCCAGAGTTGAGCTCTCCCCAAGGAAGCACCAGAAGCCATTCCACCCAACGACAAGCGAGAGCGAACTCTGCATCATCATGCTTCGAGATACCTTTTAGCTTGTTCACTTCACCGTCCAGCATAGTACGAGCCTGCGACGTTGCATTCGTCTTGTGCACAAGTGCCTCTAATTGCTGGATCTTGGTGGCTTTATCACAACATGACGATGCTAAACTCAATGCGTTCGTGTGAGGAACAGCAACGGCAGACGTTGCAGCTGTGAAAGTGCCTGTCGGGTCATCGTGATGCGCGTTTCGAGCAGCGGCCAGCAGTCGATTTACACCTGGCAGGGGCATCAGCTCGAGTGATCGGTGAAAATATTTTTGGGCCAGTACACTTTGACGCTGTCGGAGACACTTTTTGCCCAAATCACGAGCGAGTGCTGCATCTAGAGCCAATTCCTCGTCACTTTTCCTCGTTGTGTCTCCAAAGATCGCTGCAAGAAGCGGAGTGACTGCTGCATCCTGAACGACCGAGGCAGATTGCGGTCCGTAGCTGGTCTGGAACTGTAGGATCATTTGCATTTGCAGCTGGAGCTGCTGAATCTGAATTTCATAGCCGTCGTGGCTACTTACCTTACCGCGAAGGGTAGTAAGTTCGTCTTTCAACGCCAGGATGCGATTTGTTACTGCTTCGTTCTCCTTTCCGAGTTCAAAACTCCTCTGTCTTGCCTTGTGAGCTTCGTGGCGGAGATACAAAACCTCCAAATCACGTCGAAGATCCGGCGACTCAATTCGATCCAGCAACAGACTCCCACTGTTCGTCTCCTCTTCGACCACTGCGCTGGATGTAATCAGCTTTTCAATTATCCGGACAGCTTCACCTTCTCTTGCAGATTCATTAGCTGCCTCACAAGCAAGACAAAGGGGGGAGCGTCCACTTGCGTCCTTCACGTTGACATCAGCATTTGCTGCCACGAGATACAACGCACTCTCCGTGTGAGCGTTCGCACACGCCAAATGAAGTGGCGTCCTTCCTTCCACGTCAGCGGCACTAACGCCAAGAAAAACATACTTGTCTGTTGCTCCATCCGTCGCATTCTCCACTCGTGCGTTGGCACTTAGTAGCAATTCCACGCACACTGACGATCCAGCACGAGCGGCTTCATGCATCGCAGTTCCCCCGCCAATATCTCGTCGCGTTGGGAGTCCGCCGTACTCTTCGTCCACATTGTACAGCACTGCAGGCACTAGGGGTGCAGAGGATTCAGCGCGAAGTAGTAAGCGAGCACATTCCACGTGACTGTTAGCACATGCAACATGTAAAGGAGTCTGCATTGCCAGATCCACAACATCGGGGGTCGCTCCCAGCTGCAGCAGCAGCTCCACCACGTTGTCGTTCCCACCTGCACATGCGTGGTGCAGTGCTGACAACCCATTCGAGACGCACGCCGCGTTCACGAGTTGGCGTTTCGCCTCCTTCCCCTCCACACTGGCAAGTACTCGCTGACAGGCAGCATGGTCTCCATCACGGCAGGCCACGTGCAAATTGAAAACTAGATCAGAGGCATCGTCACAGCTTTCTCCGTCCTTCCGTGATGGCATTGGCAAGCTTCTGAACGACACAACCTTCCCACTGGATGCAAACAGTTCATCAGCCGCTTCCCCAGCTAGACACAGAATTCTTGCGGTAGTGACGTTCACAGCTGGTTGGATTCGTAAGAAAATAGTGTGAGGAATCATCACAGCCGGTAGCTTGGCGTTGGCGGCGTCAATCTGGTCTACACTCATGACGAAGGCTGTGTCCGGATCTACTTCGTCGTCATTGCACACGATGGCGGCCACGGCTCCGGCACGTTGTACACGCTCGAGCTTATCCGGAAAGGAACAGGACCCCCGTCGCAACAGAGCGACAGCTCCACTCAGTTCTCGTGCATTAATGAGTGGCTTGTCGGCAAGCAGCGGGTCACACGCCACCAATTTCCCAGTGTACGATGCACCAGCAATTGCCCAACAGAAATCGGCTAGCGGAGCAAAGCAAATCTCGTAGGTGGAAGCACTGGTGGCCCACTGGACGAATGCAAGCAGCGGTGGCTGCTGTTCTCGGGTTATTACAGTGTCACTCTCGCTTTTCACTGCGTCCAGCTCTCCAGTTCCGGCAGGATACAGCGAACTCGGAACTTCTTCGGCCATGTCATCCGATGCTGGCGTATTATGTGGCTCCAACATCTTGATGATGGACGTCGTCGTGCGTTTGATCGCCTTCCATCCTTTCCCAGCTTCAGCTGCGTTATGCAGCTCCCTCTGTACTCTCAAACACGTCTCCGCAACTGCATTTCCCTCTTCCCGCTGCAAAATCTCGAAACTGAGCTCTCCGGTCTTGACGGACGGGGGAAATTTCTGGAAGAGCTCTCTCACATCACGCAGACACATCATCACACAAGGGATCGTGATGGATTCAGCTTCATTCTTCTTGTTCTCCTCGAGTTCCTGAGATGATTCGCCCATCGTGAATGCCGCGAGAGGCTCCTCTCTCGTGTTGTTGGCCAGTAGCATTGCCACTGCCCCCGCCCTTTGCAGCAATCTCGCCTTGTGCGCGAAGCTGCAGCCTCCACGCACCACCAAAGCGACTGCTCCTTGTAGTTCTGCTGCGTTCTTAAGCTCCGGTTGGTCAGCGCGCGGTGGCTCGGCACAAGCCAAGCGGACGTCGAGCACTTGTGGCTCTCGTGAGCCAAACGTGGCCAATGGGCAAGCTCGACGCCCGTTGCTGCCGTCCCACGAGATGAACGCGAACTCTTGAGCTGTAGCCATTGCAGGCAGAGACACGACGTCCGAGACGTCACTTTGGGATGACTCGATTTGGTTGTCATCAAATGACAGCGACCTTTCGTGACGATCTTTAGATCGCCTGTCTAATCCGATCCGAATTAGTGCTAGCTGAGGGCTAGTCCTCCAGCCAGACGAAGATGGCGTACCTCGACACCAATGCGATGCCCCGGCGTAGTGACGGCACGGTACTGCATCTGGGCGTCAAGGCTGGACAAGTGGCCAATCGCGTAGTGTCGGTGGGGAGTCTCGAGCGAGCTAAGCTGCTGGCTCAGCTGCTGGACGATGCACAGTTCGAGACTATCGAGTCGGCACGCGGATTCAAGACGTTCACGGGGAAGATGAAAGGCGTACAGGTGTCGATTGTAGCGACGGGAATGGTAAGAACAAAGGTGACGATCAGAGGTTTCGTGGTTACTCGTGGTGACGCTTGGCTCATATCGTCAGGGCGTGCCCAACATGGACTTCGTCGTAAGAGAAACGAGGGCGATCGTGGAGGGCCCGATGAACATCATTCGGTGAGGCTGGCGCAGCTGGGGGTGGTTTGTTGGAGTAGACTCATACGCTGCTGGTGTGCTGGTGTAAATAGGTTCGGGACCTGTGGGGTTGTGCGGGAGGAGGTTCCTCCAGGTAGCGTTGTTGTGAGCGGCAAGGGTTCTGTCATGGTCACGCGCAACCCAGACGCCTTTTTTCCTGATGCTACCGGAGAAGAATACTATCGAGTATCTAGAGTGATGCCTTCGTCGCCAGTACTCTCCAAAGCGGTAGGCCCGAGGTTGCTGCCTCAAATTAAGCTGCTCTTTGTAATCCTGGACTCGTTGCGTGGCAGCTTCGAGCAGCGATGAACGATAAGCTCAGTGCCCTTCGCGCTGAGCCTACAATCGCCTCTTGCTGTGATCGTGACATGATCAATGTACTCGATGGACTTAATGCGACTGCTTGCTCCTTCTACAGCTCCCAAGGTTCTCTTTTATCCTCCCACCTCCAGCTCAGCATAATTATTTGTCTCGTGTCGTTCCTGCAGGCCGCCTCGATTCTGCATTTGATGACCGCAACAAGGAGCTCGTGGAGAGCCTCGTAAAGTCTCACCAGGACCTCTACACGGTCGAGATGGAGACCTTCCACTTGTAAGCAGCATCTTTACAAGACGCAACCGTCTTCAGTCACTAACCAACGGTTATTGTCTGCAGACTGGACCTGGCACAGCGCAGTCGCGGCTCTATCCGGGCCACTGCGGTAGTTCTCGTCGTTGCCAACCGACTTAGTGGTCAAGTAGTCGCGTCCGACCTGCTCAAGAGGCTGGAATTGTTCTGGGGGGCAGGTCATCCTCCAGATACTTCATTGGAAGGTTAAGAAAACTGTAGCCATTTGGAAGATCGTAATTGAAGTTTTCAGCCAATCAGCGAATGGATAAATGTTGTTTCAATCACAGTCAGAAAAAAAAACTCGTGAAGAAAAAACTGTAGCCAAAATGAGCGACGACGGCAAGCACAAGCGCTGGTTCCCACTCGAGTCCAATCCGGAGGTTATGAACTCATACGTGGAGAAGATGGGCTTCCCTACGTCTCAATTCAGCTTCTGCGACGTGCTAAGCACCGAAGAGTGGGCGCTGGCTATGGTGCCGACCCCCGTGGTGGGGGTCATCATGCTTTTTCCGATCAAGCCACACGTACGAAACAGCTGCTGTGGTGATACAATATCTACAATAGGTGGGAGTGTTTCACCAGCTAATGCGATTTTGAATTGTCGCGATCGACTTCAGACCGAGGAGGCTGACAAGCAGGAGGCAGTCAGGATCGAGAAGGACGGACAAACAGTGTCTCCCAACGTCTACTACATGCGGCAGACCGTTGGTACGGCCATTTCCTTTAGGGCTGAAGTTGGTTTCAACCAACTTAGTATTGAGCTCTGTCATATAATTTCAGGCAACGCTTGTGGCACGGTGGGAATTCTGCATGCCATCGGCAACATGCGTCACCTGGTGCAACTAAGTGAGTTGTGTACTGTCGATTAGCTGGCTGGAGCAAAAGTGGTACTGAGTTATGGTGTTGCTTTTGCGGCTAACGGCAGCTCCTGGGAGTTACTTGGACAAGTTTTTCAACAAGACGAAGACAAAGTCACCCGATGAGATCGCCCAGTTCCTTGAGGAAGACGACGAGGTCAGTTGTTAGTCACTCGATGCTGTTTTCATTGGTTTACAATTGTGACGGTACCGATTTGGTTGTGATGCTGATAGCTGGAGGAAACTCACGGCAGCGCGGCGGAGGCTGGGCAGTCGGAGGTACGGCAACTTCATATTTCCGGAGCCACTATCATTTGTTGATTGGTGTGACTCTCTCTGTGTGTGTAGCAACTGGAGAGCGTGGACGACCCCATCAACACACACTTTGTCTGCTTCAGGTGTGCGCACGATGACAGGCCCATAGTGAGCGACGACGTATGAAACTAAATGTGCTTGCACTGCTTGTGTTGCAGCTGCGTGGATGGCAATCTGTATGAGCTCGACGGGCGGAAGAAGCGTCCAATCAACCACGGACCGTCAAGCCCGGACACTGTGCTACAGGTACAAAACTCTGTTTTCCTGCCCCATTGCCGCTGCAGAGTCGAAGTTAAGTAAGTACATGTACCTTTCTTTCTCCTTTTAGGACGCCTGCCAAGTCATCAAGAAGTTTATGGCCCGGGATGAAGGCGAGGTGCGTTTCACCATCCTGGCACTGGCGAAGACGGCCTCTGAATGAATAAGCTCGACTGCGGACCGAGTGTAGTAAGTTGCACGAGCCAGTGTAAGCGGCTGGATGTGCAGGAAAATGAAGAATAGGCGCCACTTGGGCCACCAAAGTTACTCCGTGTTAGTCATGTGCAACATCAGCATCTTAAGTTTTGCTCTCTAACTGGCGACTCCTCGTTTGCACTGTTTTGCCTAGCGATACAATACTCGTTCAGTATATCAAGTATCTCTGGTTCCGTACTCGCATGCTGGTTTTGTTATTGTTCTCGATCGCTGTCTTCATTGCGAATGTGGCATCAGCTTCCTCAATCGACTTGTACGTCTCTCCAACGGGAAGTGATAGTGGCGGCGCGGATGGGAGCTTTACCAAGCCTTTCAAGACGCTTACACGAGTGCAGCAAGAAGTTCGAAGCCAGAACAAACTCGAAGCGAACAAGCAAACCCCCATTAACGTTTACCTACGAGCTGGACGATACGAGCTGTCAGAAACGTTTGATTTCTCCGACGATGACTCAGGCGCTTCCGGTGACGTGCCGGTAACATACCAAGCTTACTGTGATACAGCAGGGGAGAAGGCTGCGATCTCGGCTCGGACATTCCCGTACCGCTCTGGATCGGGAATCCCCCCGCGTCTGCTTTGGAATGGTGTGGGCAATGTCGACGAGTGGGAGGGCCCAGTAGACCCCTTCGCTCAGATGGGAGTCAACCGCAGCGCCAATTCGCTGCTGGTGATCCCAGCACTCCCTCAAGATGCCGGAACGGACATCGGCAGTGTGTGTGTGGACAAGAACAGTGTTGGCCACACCTGCTACGCCGAAGACAGTCCTATGGCAGAGTGTGTTTCTGGGTGCATGGCAGCATGCCAAAGCCATATCGCTCGTAAGCGGTACAGTGAGGCCTTTTACAACAAGTTCGCGCACTTGTTCGGCAAAGACTTACGGAAGGAAGAGGATTGCGTTGAGATCTGCTCGTTATCGTGTCGTGGCTGTGAGAAAGTATTGATTTCAGGATCCAAGCTGACACCTGCGGCGACGCTAACATGGACTTTGGATCATTCAGTCACGGCGGGCTCTGCTAGCGGTGGATCCCAAGTACTTAAAGTGTTTAGAACAGATTTATCCTCCATCCTGTCAGGCCTGGCAGCAGGGATCGTGCCTGCCAAGCCCGAGGATTTTGCCACCTTCACTACCTTGTATGTCGATGATATCCGACTGCCACGTGCAGGATTCCCGAATTGCTTGGTGGACTCGTCGTTACCTGCACAGAAATTAGATTGCTCGTTTGCGCCTGTAGATGTGATGGCCTCGCAAGTTAAATACGACGCAAACACATTTTCGAGTCGTGTATCGACGTGGACACATTTGAAGGATGTTGTGGCAGACCTTCGGCCCCAGAGGGCACAACCTACAAGTCTGCACTACTCGCTCTCAGCACTTGACACTGTGACTGCTACCATGCAACTTGGTGCTGGTGGGTCAGAACTATCGTATGACATTTTCACCAAAGGTCCTGGTGCTTCGTGGTCCTCGTCCGCTAGTCTTGACCCAGCGATTCGAGTGGAAAATGTGTTTCAGGAGTTGGATTCTCCAGGCGAATGGTTCTTTAACGCCTCCACGCGTCAGTTGTATCTAATCCCACTAAAGTCGACGATTTCCGCCTCCTCGTTGGCTAAGAGTGTTCTGGAGATCCCATTGCTTCATCAATTGCTGCGTGTGAGTGGCTCCCGTGAGAATCAATATATCACATCGAGTCACGCTCACACGACGCTAAAGGAAACCTCTTCAGCCACCAAAGTGTCAAACCTCCGCTTCCGCTACCTCACATTCTCCGGAACGCAGCTTCACCACCTCAATATTTGTAAGTGATGAAAGCGCATTTTTTATAATAGCCCAACCAACCATAATATGTTTTGTCCCTGTGTGAAGACGAGCGAATTCCTGGTTCGGCATGGCCCATGACACGTGTGGCATCGATCTATCTAGAGTCAGCGACAAACGTGTCGATCGAGTACTGCAACTTCGAGAAGATAGGCGGCAATGCAATCATGGTGTCCGGCGAGAACAGCAACATCCAGATCGCAAACAACAACATCTCGTTCGTGGGTAGCAATGGCATTTCCGTGCTCAGTAGACGTGGCTTCCAGCTCAACGCGTTTCATGAGCCCGTACTCAGTCACCTCCTTGTTCCACGCGCGGTTAACATTTCCTCCAACCAAGTCCACCATTTCGGTCAGCAAGTGGCACATTCAGCGGCGATTATGGTAATCGGAGCTAAGCAAACTACTATTCACGGTAATCTCGTCTTCGACGCCCCGACCAGCGCTGACTCCAGTGATGTTGCTGGAACTGCGGCACTTTTCAGTGCAGCGGCGTATCATGTGGCCAATGCCATAGGCGCACACAACCTAGACGGCCTCCCGTTGATTCGCCCCATCAGTAATCTCGGAGAGAAGGCCATCTCTGTCACACCAGCACCGATGCTTTCGTCGCAGTACCAGGTGACTGTGCCCCTGCTTGGCTTTGACGTTAACATCGTAGCGAAGCTCGTAGGAGCTCCAGAGTGTTTCTCTGGTAGTGGCCGTGTTGGATCCTTATACGGAGAACGTACACCATTTACATACACCACTTGCTCCGGTTGCTGCTCGGTGCACAACAATTACGCTAAATTTCGAGTGACTGGGTCCGGTGTAGCGTGGACTGCCGCCACCTCTCGCGACGTTGTTGTGAGGCCTGGAGAGGCGATCGATCTGACTGCTACTTCGTCAGCATATTTCAACTCCATCGTAGACGTCTACTTAGGCTTTCACGTCGTCACGCCCAACCAGATCCTCCATCTACCGACTCATGCCAAGTGGCAAATACTCACTCGAAGCTGCAAATACGCTGAGCAAACGTACAAAGAAACCTGCGGTGGGCCGTGTGTCCAGTTAGACGGATGCGGCAACTCAAATAGCGCGCTACAACAGGCTGTTGGAACTTCTCTGGCTTGCATCTCTGGCTATGAATCCGATCCGCAATCGCTGATTTGTACAGGTCCATTTGAGACTCAGCAAGACTGTGATGGCTCAGGATTGATCAAGTCGCGCCTGTACTACAACTGCTCCATCGACTGCTTTGCAACGACATGTACCTGATCAGCACAACCTAGACAAGACAAAGAAGCAATCACGATAAAATAACACCGCTCTCTAAGTCCAATTTTTCAACATGTTCACTTGTTTCCAGGTACGCTGGTGCCATGAGGCACAAGACATACTCGCGCCTTCCGACTGCTTGCGCTCGGCCCGCGTTCTAAAAGGCCGTCGCAGCTCCCTCGACCCATTCCGTCTTCTTTCCCCGTTTCTTTTTGTTTTATATTTGCTGCTTGCTATCCACGCACTCCCTCTTTCGTAGACCAGCAGGTATATTCTGTCCGACGTATCACACATTTGAAAGCGACGACGGCCGCCCCACGAAACTGAATCCGTCGAAGTCGTTCGGGCGGTCTGTCTTCGGCATCATCACACTCGGTTCACGGTCACGAGCCGTAATTTCGTTCATGTTGCGAGGTGCATAGTGTGTGTCCATCTTGCCCACACCCGGGTTGAATGGTGGCTGCATCTTGCGCTCCAGCAGCTCTGGCCAGTCAATGCTATCAAAGAAAGGGTGCGTCAACACCTCGTCGGCTCCGCGCGGGCCACTGCCAAGGCGCATCATCGGGTCACGTGTTAGCAGCTAAAATGACCACAACAATTATAGAAGAGTAACGTTAGTGATAAGCCACATCAACGACACATACAATGCACCTCACCCCGTTAATGAGCGAAATCGCCGCGTCCGAGAAGCTGGGCGAGAAAGTGACCCAGTCCTGCTTCAAAATGGTCTGGAACATAATGTCACGGTTGCGATGGTAGTAAGGCGGTTTTCCTCCAATCATTTCGTATAGCAAGATGCCGAAAGACCACCAGTCGGCAGCCTTGCCGTAAGCCTTGCCCCTCAGCAGCTCGGGCGCAATGTATGCAGCTGTACCACAAAAGGTTGTGGCACCCTTGAGGCCCGAGACGCCAACCTTTGACAAGCCAAAGTCAGTGATACTCACGTGGCCGTCGTGGTCCATCAACACATTCTCAAGCTTAGCGTCACGGTAAATGATGTTGGCGCTGTGAAGATGCGCGATGGCCGCGGCAACCTCGGCGGCGTAGAAGCGAGCCCATTCCTCCGGGAATTTACGACGACGACGCAGGTGCGTAGCCAGAGATCCACCACTGAGGTAATCCATCACGAGATACAGCTTGGATTCACTCTGGAAAGCGTAGTGCAGCTTGACAACGAAAGGGTGGGAAATCTCCGTCAAGATTTTACGTTCGGCCATGGTCGTGTTGACCAGGCCAGACGAAACAACTTGCTGCTTCTTCAACACCTTCATTGCATAGCACTCGCCCTGGCGTGGCGGTGTCACCTTGCGGCACAAGAAAACCTTGCCGAACCCACCTTGGCCCACAACCTTCATCAACTCAAAGTCCTTGTCCGAGATTTGGCGCCGCTGCTTGTCACTTGAACCACTGCTACCAGATCCGGAGTTTCGCTTCGGCTTTGGCACTGGCTTGGGCAGATAGTACGTAGCCTTGATTTTGCCATCATCTTCATTGTCATTGCCGTTGCCATTGGGTTTGTTTCCGTTCTTACCTTCGTCAGCACCACCAGACACATCACTCGACTCGTCGCCATCCGTCTCACCGATAACAATTATGTTAGACTGTCGCCGCGGCCGGCCGATAGTCTTGGAAGCGGTCTTTCTCCTTCTCAACTCCGACCGGACATGCTTAACCACGGCAGTCATGCCAGGCTGGTTCGGGTTCGCACCGATGAACGCAAACGCAGGGTCCTCAGCCTTCTCCAGTGTCTTTGGCGTGTCGTCTGCTTCCTGCGATGGCATGAAGCCCAAAGATAGGCAGACACAGTTCACGCGCGCCTGTGAGTCCACGATCTGGGCACCAAGTGGCTCGTATGACGCTTCCCAGTTGATTGACCGGCGTCCAAGAAGCTCCAAAATGCCAGGAGATTCGTTGTGATCGATTTCGTGTTTGGACTCAATCAGCGCAATACGGTAAATCTTGTCACGGGCACTCTCCTCATACGTTTCCAAAATGGACTTCACAAGCGCACCACCGCGCGCATAAGCGATGATGGACACTTGGCCCTTGCACTTCGTGATGAATTGATCCCACACGAAAAGCACGTGCTCCTTGGGTGTAGAGGAGTTGGGAACTGGCACTTCTCGCTCGAAGCCCCCTGCCTCATACACGACAGCCTTGTTGGAGAAAGGATTGCATACCACAAGTCCATAGCCTTCTTCTTGGGCACGGCTGAAATACGGCGTCATCGACCACTTGTGGTCAATCGTCAGCTTTGCATTCTCCGGGTCCTGCTTCCAGAGACCGAGAGGTCCGGAATCAGACAAAAACAGAATAACTTTCTTTGCGGTCGTGTATGCCATAGAGCTGTAGAATCGGCAGCGCACAGGAGAATCGGCCGATGGCACAAATTGAGGCGTGAAATCCAGCTCTTTCTCCATAAAATTGTAGATGTCCTTCTTGTCCGTGCGCTCACTCATACGGATCGAAGGATTAACGTTGTGCTTCAGCTTTGGCAGCTCAACCTGCTCGTCGAAGGCAGAAATCCCACGAGTGTCCAGCTCTAACGAATCTGCAGAGCTCTTTCGTTCGCGATCTTCAGTTTCGTCTCCAGTTGGTTTGTCTTCTTCCTCATCCAAGTCATCAGAGTTCTTCTGCTTCTCCTCGCCCTTCTTGTACGCATCGGAAGGTGGCTTCGTCGGGAGTTCGGTGTCATCCCCACTCTCGTCATCGCTACTTGACTCCATAGCTAGCATTGCCGTCGTTTTTCGACGTCCCATACCAGCCATGAGGAGACCAGCCGACGACCGAGAAGAAGTTCGGACTGGAACTGGTGCAGGCTTCGGTTCCGCCTTCGACTCCTCCTCTTCAGAGTCACTGAACGAGGTGAAGCTGTGTCTCTTAGGTTCAGGCTCTACAATGCCAAAGTTTGGCTTGAGTGCTTCCTTCTTGGCCTTCGGGGGTGTCGGAGGAGCCCTCACTGGCGATGGAGTTTCCCGAGATGTGTGTGGAGACGGAGATTCTGCGTCACTGCTCGACTCGTCGCTTGGAGGTCGAGCTGGCGAACGAGGAGTCGGCCTACCTACCTTGACATCTTCCTCGTCTGACTCCGCATACTTTGGTGGGGTACGTTCCTCATTGGCTTCCACTTCACTGAGGGCATCAGTTATGTCCTGATCAAATCTAGCAGAAGTATTGTTGTTATCTGGCTGCTCTAGTGGCTGTTGCGAAGAGCCTCTCGTCATTCGGTTCGGATATGTGCCTTCCTTGTCACCGACGTCAACGCCGTCCGGGGTCTGCATCACAGCTAACAACAATGTTCTAGCACCCTCAGATAGCGCTTCAAGTTCATCAAATGGCGTCGTTTCATCGTCGATGTCATCACGTCCGTCAATATCATCTTCAGTCTCGTCGTTGATCGTTTGTGCACGGGAAGCACGCTCTCCAACGGTGGTGCCACGCAAGTTAAAGCCACACGCTCCACAGAAGCGAGAGCCCGTTAGAACCGCATTGCAGTTGGGGCAACGCTTCTTCTCGACTTCAGGCTCTTCTTCCACGGCATTCAGTTTGTGCAAGGCGTTCATCCACTTGGTGCGCTCCCGATCGTTATCGGCATACACATAGTATGGAACCTGCTCGTTGGTCATGAACATAAAGCCGAACGGCTCTCCGTCCCACTTCTGGACATCCTCAACCAGCACTTCTGCCAGAGGCTTTCCCTTTGCGTTGTTCGCCATGTCATAGTCCGAGTAATACGAAATAGTATTGCCTCGCAGAATAAAGTAGCGCTTCTTCCAGCTCTTGCGTTTATGGCCCTGCTTCGTAAGATATCCTGCACACGACACGGGTTCCGGGACGCTGGCTGTTGACTTCTTCACTGTCGCCAACCACTTCTGCTGCTCGCCAGTCGTGTCTGCAATCACGTAAAACACATTTCCCGTCACAGTCATGAACATCAGACCATTCGCTTCGCCATCCCACGGCGCAACAGATCGTATCTCCACTTCTGCCATCGCCGATTGATTGTCACGATATGCTTGCTGATCCGCGTAATGGCGTAGCGACGTACCGTTCAGCACGTAGTACGCCATGCGTTGGCTCGGAACCAGGTGGCCGCGCTTCGTGAGGTAACCTTCGCAACTCACCTCTTCAGTCTCGACCATGAAATCCTTCAGCGCTCGCAGCCACCTCGAACGTTCAGCTTCCGACGACGCGTACACATAGTACGGGATTTGCTTTGTAGTGTAGAACATGAATCCATGCGCTTCACCCGACCATGGGGCGACCTTCTCGACTGTCACGGCACCGTACTTCTTGCTCTTCTCCTCACTTGAATAGTATTCCAAAACATTGCCACGTAATGTGAAGTAGCGAGTCTTCCAGTTCGTAAACACATGTCCTCTCTTGGTCAGATACCCCTCGCACTTAATCTCGGTGGGGGTTCCTTCAGGGACCGTCATACGCGACTCCTTCTCGCCACGGTTCAACATGAACGTCTCACGACTGAAGATGCTACGTCGTGAGACGGAGCGACGGCTAGTTGCGTTGTTTACTGGCGCCGTTTGACTAAAGTCAGAGCCTCCATACCCTGTCGAGGTAGCAGGATTAAAGCTGGTGCCGCTGGTAGCACCATAGGGCGACGCCGTGTTGGCAAACGGCTGGTTGCCACCGTAGGGTGCTGCGCTGGGACCGAGCGAGTGGCCCAAGTGGCCGCTTCCCTCGAGATTCTGCTCGTGTAGCACGTCCAGATTGGGGTTCGACAAAGGGCGAGGCATTCCATACGTGCTGTTGCCGCTTTGAGGTGCCGCGGGGATCTGCGGTGGATACTGTGGAGGCGGCGGGGGCGGCGCTCGGTTGAGCATGCTGCCACGCGACGACGTGCGAGGAAGCCGCGCCTGGTCGCCCTGCGTCGTACGCATCGGAGGAGGGTTCATCTCCGCTGACGCCGACGACGACGAACGGCGGATGGATTCTCGCAGCGCATACGAAGTGGGTGACGTCACAAGGATGTCCTCCTCGCCATACTGCTGCTGGTAGTTCTGCTGAGACTGGTCGGCGCTCATTGCAGCATCGACCTGTAGCCCAAGACAAAATTCCTGTTGCACAGGGGCATACAAACAACAAGACGTTAGTGATAGAGTGAGTGAGAGAATAACTGCGTCCACGAGTGCGGAATCCAGAATGATGGTCCCCCGCGCGCGTTGATGAGACCATCATCACTCTCACTCCACCATCACAAGGGGCAAGCAAAGGAGGGAAAGCAACGAATCGATCCACCTCCGTTGTTTAGCCTCCGCTGTGGCTTGCCTCCCGCACAGGGACACGGAGAGAGGGGGGGGGGACGTCGCTCTCTCCACGCAGGTCATGCTAGGACGAAAAGCAGGCTACCTGCTGCTACTGCTGGTGGTCACTCTTTGCCGCGCGGTCGTCCAAATACGAGCTTTCGTCTGTCCGTTAAACCGCTTGTATCCGCTTGGGGGAATAAATGAGTGCCGCCTTGCTCGCTCCTTTCTCTGCTTGCGTGGCCTCACTCGGCGGCGTTCTCGTGTTTTGTTGTTTGTCCGTGAAAAATCCTCCCCAATCCGGTTACGCGAAGGTCGCACGAAGAGGCGAGACGTTGCCAGCGACGTACGGTACCAGTTGAACCGGCTGCTCAAAGTTACACGCATGAATACTGGTCTATAATTGCTGCGTGGGACGCGCGTACTTCCAAATCGAGCGCGCTTTGGCCTTTTCCCCGGCACCATCATTGTCGAGGCGATCTAAGGCAGAGTGGATATCGTACGTCGACGATAATAATAAGGCAACTCCAGTCCTGCGAGCGAGCCATATCCACACAATATCACGCTGGCGTGTTCATTGCGCTACTGGAGCTCTGGTTACACTTACAATGCATCGAACGGATGCGCTTGCCAAAGAGCACAGATTAGACGTGTGTACGCACGAAGGTCGAGCTTCTTGCGCTAGAGTGCGGCACCTGCGCACTCAGAGGCTGGAATGAGAGGGGTGTCAAAATTACGCGGCTGGTGCTGTCTATTATAAAACGGAGGCAATGCAACTTGCTACTACTAGCCAGCATTGTGAGTTTGAAGAACGTCAACTACGTCTTGTATTGAGCTTGGGTAGTTATGATACTGCGAAGTTGTGGGGGTTACTTTGGGTATACCTGTGGTCAAGAAGCTGCAGTGGAATACAAAACCCAGATCATGTATTTGTGTGCATTTGTGGAACCAAGTGGTTAAATAACAGCGATGGCAGGGGTGGTGCGTGGTTTGGAGAGGTATGGTACACTTCGTCCCTTCAGTAGCGGTGAATGCGATGGATCTGCGTCTCCGCAGTAGCTTGAAGGCGATGATGCCCTGCGCAAAGCGAGTCGAACGTGCGAGCGAGCTGAATAGAATTCTGCAGATAGCAGCAGCTGCGAGCTACGTGCCAAAAATGATCACTGGATCATGCCGTCTTGCCCGCGTTGCCGTTCAGACTATCAGTGATGAAGGTGCTGGGCGGAAGGTTGGGCATGGCGGCACTAGTGGCGCGATAGCCATCCAACTTGCCAGGCATGAGAAAACTAATGGGCGGCAAGCGTGGGGTTCCTACAGGCGGCGGCGGCGCCAATCCTCCTAGTCCGTTGGGTACGCCGCCTGTAGCATATTGGGCATTCCTGAAGGCGTCCGACGCGTTCTGATCGTAGCCAAATCGGTTCAGCGGCGAGACGGAAGATCCATTTGGGAAGGCAGCTTCGAGCGACGTGATGGAGTGCAGACTATGCCGACGCGTGCTGTCGCTGCCGACACCGATACTGCCGAGCTTGGCCCGCCGGGCGACGCTGACCATGCGGTGCTTACGGTCGCTCTTGCGCTGGTGCTCGTTTTGGCGATCCCGATGGAAATGGCATAGAGTATGAAGCTGTCCGTTGCGCTTGGTGGCGCGCGGGTTCGAGCACTTGCCGGACTTGTACTTGCACAGAAGTTGCTGCTGCTCTCCGCGCGGGGAGCTGAGCGTGGAGAAGCTGCCGTCGTCCTGGCTGTTCATGAGCTGGTGGCTGCGCTTGAGGCGACGCTGGCGGTAGATCTCACTGCCCCTGTCCGCGCTGTCCGGCTGCAGTCCCGTGTCGAGTTGTTCGCGGTCTGAGGAGTTGTGCACTCACCTCCAGTGAGCTAAGAAAAAGAAAACTGTCCTTCACTGTCGCAGAGCGAGCGGAGGCCAGCAATAGAGTAGAGCAGAGAGCAGAGCGCTGGTTAATGCGGCGCGAGTTCCAAACCGTGAAATGGGGGAGGGAGCTTGCCGGCGCTGGGCAAGAAAGCGAAGTGAGCGTCGGGAGGGCGGTGAGTACGCGACGATGGCCGTACTCTCCAACCACCAAGAGCGAAAGTAGCAAGTGCGTTGCAGCAAGTGGCAAGTGCATACTCCAGTGTGGCTGGCCCGGGTTCTGGCTGGGGTGGGGGTACCGGCTGAACGGAAACGCTTGGGGATTTTGGTGTGCAGAGACTGAGCTTTCTGTAGAATGCCCGGAAGCAGCGGAACATGCTCCGGGTAACGGTCGATAAGTCTATGGCGGCGACTTGCACTGCAACTTGCCCCATTAAGGCACTGCCCGCGATCTCTAGCTCCCTCCTCCCTCCCTATACCGGCGGCCTTAGCGAGACGCGCACGTGAATGCGCTTGGCGAACTTCGCTAGAGATGACATCTCTGCCATGGTCTAGCCAGCCCACGTGACGACCAAAGTTGATCGCTACATCACCTCCATGACTAGCATTACATGTACTTAAGTATCGTCGATAAAGGCCCGCGAGGTATTTAAGGGGGGGGGGGTATGGTGGAAGGCGGCGCTGAACTGCCTGAAATGATTTCTTCTGTGTTCCTTTGGCTCTCCTTTAATGCAGTGGAGTTCGAGACCCCGCCAGAAATCACGAAGGACGGGTACGAATACTGCAACATCCTCCAACGAGAAGCCCACGCTCAGCCCAGCGGTGAGAGAACGTTGCTCCGTCGCAAGTAAGTGCGAGTCACTCGTTGCGGATCTTTTGCCGTCGTCTCCGTTGCACTGAGCCGACTCGATCTTCAAAGCTCAAGTGTACAAAAACGAGTCATCGAATAAGAAACCAACGGCAACACCTGCAACGTTCTACCGATTATTGGTTTCGTTCGCGTCCGAGCAGACGACAGACGGGCGAGCGCTGGTCTCAACTTATTAGCCCGCGCCCCACTTGGAAATCTCCACGTTGCGATGCCTGAACATACCGGTATACAGCATACCCGTCCGTGGATCTCGCTGCTCCACAAGCTGCTGGCGACAAATAGCGACGGTTTCCCGCCGCCCGTCGTTGCCTGAAGCTGCTGTGTCCGCTTCCTTTGCAAGCCGCTCGTCACGCACAAGCGCTGCTGCAAGCTGGTGCGCAGCAGCAGGCATCACTTAACGCACCCCACTTGCCCTTTCCGCCACCTTCCCTGCCATCCAGTCTGGCGAGAGGACCATGCGTCCTGAACTCGTGTCCAAACACCAGCATGATTTGTGTCCAATGTTAACGTGGCACGCCACAGTGGCGGCCACGTACGTGCTGCTGTTACTTTGCGCCTAAAGGGCCAATCGGGTGTTGGTATTTTGCCGCGAAGGGCACGGCGAAGGTTGCCGTCATGATTTTTAGATATTGTCTCGGTAACACAGCCCCAACAGCTTCGACTTGACCATCGTACAATACCGCTGGCGATCAACGATAACTTAGAAGGAGAAAGCGCAGAGAACACTGTCGATTCTGAGTTGCTTAGTCTAGCTAGTCGAGAGGCCGGTCATTTCGCTGCTACTCGGAATTACATCTTCTACGCATTTACCGGTATACTTACCGTATTCCTTATGTGATTGGCGACAGTCAAATTCTTGAGGTGGTCCAGCCTTTCTGCCAGCATAAAAGATACCCGCATAGAAAAAACTATATGACATGCTCAAAATTATATTGGTCGCCAAGCACATAAAGCGCGACGACACGAAATTTAAATCAATTTGATTGGCTGCTGGATTTGTCGCTAATGACCGAGCGTCGCCAATCACATAAGGAATACGGTACCACAATTGTTGAGTCACAGCAATCACATGTCTTCGATTGCATCCGAGATTCCCAGGGCACCCACGCATTTCCAAACTGGGAGTCCCAGTGGCGGGATTGGGACCAGTTAAAGTGGGCGTTTCGCAGCGAGTTATGCCACCTCTGTTTGATGCTGTGCGAGCAGGCTGGTATCGTTGGTGTATGTCTTCTACAGTACCGGCTTCTGGATAGCTGGCTACGTGTACCTTGAAGCGAGTCTTGTGCCACAGGAATAGTTGTTGGGGAAAATGGAGTGTCGAGACGTTGGAATGGCGAAACGCCCCACAGGTGACCAGTTGTCAGGACGACATGCGTCAGCAACTTCAGTATCCTATAGGGCCCCCAAAACAGTAGGGGTGACATCGACTTCCCGCTGGAGGTACTGTAGCTTGATTCTATGGGCTTATTCTGTCGGATGAGGCCATTGTCGAATGCCGGCTGAACCGAAGGATGCACGTAGCGTACGTCGTTCCTTCTGTATTAGGCTTGGTCACGTAACTTTGAACCAGTGGACGCCTTCCAAAAATAAAGTAAGCACCTGACATATCTGCAGCAGATATGTCAGGTTTTATCGACCTCTATGTCGACTTATATGTTTTGTGCCCCACCACAAATCTAGTAAGAGGAGGAACCTAGGCCAGTGCAAAGTGTCCCCTCCGCAAGAAGGTACTTGAGTTTACTAGCAGTTTTATACATTGCGGCAATTTCTATTGGACTAAAAAAATTGTACTTGAAGCTCACCACTTCCCCTTTAGAGACTCTCGCCAACAAGATGCACGAGGAGGACGATGACGTTGACGTGCTGCTGTTATTGAGCGCCGCACACTCGTGGCGCGAAGCTAGTTTGGGTAGTGTCCGCCGTGAAGTGCACCAGCAGATGATCGTGGCGCGTTGCCATGCGTACACGTCACTACCTGACGGTGTCATGCTTGGATACAACCTGTGCGGCCGCGTGGATGGCCCTTTACCGGAACGGCCTCGACACGAACTTCATAAACGCTACAAGCCTCACGAGGTAGGTTTTATTGACGAGTGGATAATGTTCGCACTGTTCGTAACAACTGCTACTATATACTACGCAGAGCTGCCTTTAAACACCTACTTAAAAGATTCTCGCATCTGCAATGCACCGCTCGCGCCAATACGTGGCCGAGTGAACCATCTCCTGCAAGTAGGAAGCCAATTAGCAAACATTCTTCTCCAAGCTTCTTGAGTACGTACCTTTCGTTACGATGGCGGCACTTTGCCCTCAACGACCGATTTTCGAAAGTGTGGGCTTCTTCAACTTGAGCGCAAAATGAGATATGCGAGATATATGCAGAGAGAGAGTGATTGTGGGTCAGTTCAGAGCGATGGTCAGCATTTCTAATACAAAATTCTAGATCTAGCGATAAGATGGCTACAGAGATTAAATATAGGGGAAGGGTAGATTACTCAGACGATTTTTACGCCCCACGGATTTTATTCGATCGTTATGCCTGCAATATCTGCTGCAGGTATGTCAGGTGCTTACTATATTTTTGGAAGGCGTCCAGTGAGACCTCGGGCAATGACTGCGCTGGACAGGTTTCAAGCCTATGTCTGACCACTTTGAAGTTAAGCGTGTAGGGCGGAACAGTGCCAGGGCATAAGTGCACAACGTAAAGCAAAAACAAACGCAAATCCAGTGCACTGATATTTTATTTGTTAATTCAGTACAAAATTTACGCCAATCTACTGCATAATCTTGGCGTCAGACGCGCGAATCGCGGGCGCGCAACAGCGCTTTCGGTCGCGATAGGCGTCCGGCAAGGCGGCAACTTCCGCGGACTGCTTAAGAATACTCTGGACGGTAGTGCGCTTTACTGCTCGGGGGGTCTTAAAGCGCTCCGTTGCCCCACGAGCAAGTTCGGAGTGAGAGCATGCAGGATCTGACTTGTGCTTCTCGCACAAAGACTGCTTTTGTGGGACATGTAGGAGGAAGGGCGATGTCCCATTGTCTTTGGCGGTAAAAATCAAAGTGTGTGTAAGAAGACGTCCGATCCAAAATTTAAAATCAGATCGATGCGGCGTGTCATCCCTCGGCGAGGAGGGGAAAACCGTTGAGGTTAATTGCTAGGGTGGTGATGGGCAAAGGTAATTGCGCATCCGTTTCGCGTAATCATAAAATCTGGCAGGGTATCGACTGATACCGGTGTCGAATTGGAGGTGCACGACTGTACTGCAATTTTTTCAGAATATCTGCAAAGTAAGGGCAAAATCACAACAGATTGTATCCGAGTCATAAAAATGGATCTTGAAATATAAAAGAGAGTGGTTGCTGTTCCAACCTAGGAACCACTTGGTCACGAAAACATGCTACCCTAAAACCTTCAAATAAGGCCTATACGCTGGGTTTTGCATCCGAGCATGTATACTGTGCAGTCAGTCGGCCAGGAATAGAAGCAAAACTGACAGGTGCACTTGCACAAACGCATTTCCCCAGAACTCTCAGAAGCAATGGCCAGCGTTGCTGGTAGAAGAAAGCGAACAGACACAACGGGTGTCGACAGCTCAAGAGGCGGCGGAGATATCTCAGCAAACACGAATGAAGATTCGTCGCTCGAAGTGGAGTCTGCTTCGTCGCCAATGCTAGTAGCATCACCTCCTTCTCATAGTGCTGGACCAGCCTTGAAAAAGCTCCAGTTTGATTCGTGGGATGAATTTCATGCTTTTGTGCGTGAGTATGAAGCACAGACCTACCAGGTACTGCCTAAACTGCGATACGAACTACAAGTGTTTCAAATTTTCTAACCATTGCCACTTAGCTGTTTCGAATAAGAACAAATAAAACGGTGAAAGCTCGAAATGCGAAAATCAAGAATCCAGCTTCGCACATTCCACATTCTTTCGAGCAGTACTCGAAAGGATTAGAGTGTACTCATGCAGGAAAATACAAGTACAGGGGCCAAGGAAAAAGGTTGCGTCAAGAAAGCCGTCGGATAGAGTGTCCTGTACAGGTTGGTGTGGCTTATTCTTTTAGAACTTGGGAGTCTGTAATTCGATTCCAGAATATTTATTCTGGAATCGAGTTACAGCTTACCACTTGACGCTATACAGACTCGCTTCATCGGAATATTTCTCTTGCTCGTAGATAAATGCTTGCGTGAAACTGATAAACCAAGACACTCAAAAGTGGGCAGTGTGTGTAACAAAATCAATGCTCGATCACAATCACGATCTCAATGTGAAGTTGTTCAACTACTATCCCAAGACGCGCCTAGCACTTCCAGCGGAAGTTGTCGAGACAGTGAATGTTTTACAACAGACTGGTGCAAGAAAGAAGACTATTCACCAGTACATTCTGGAGAACTCGAACTGCCTGCCGACAAGTCGAGATGTCCACAACCTGGTCCGTACGTTGAAAAACGACAAGTTTGGGAGCACTTCGCGGGTGGAACGACTCAAAATCTGGATGAAGGACTTCAGTGAGCAGCCAGGAAACATTGCGCGGATTTTTACAGACATGGAGAGCGGCAAGGTAAGAGGATCGTGTACAACATTTTATTATGTCTGACTGTCTTTAATTTGTTTGTTTATCCAGAAAGTAGCAACTTGTATAACAATACAGACGTCACACATGCATGAAACATTCTCTCGGTTTCCAGAAGTACTTTTGATTGATGCAACACACGGGACGAATCAGTCAAAGTACAAAATATTTTCTTTTATGGCTCACGATGTCTACGGAAAGGGTCAGTTCGCTCAGCATTCCTAAATTAAGAACGAAAGATCTGAAACACTACAAGCAGCAATTGACGAATTCAAGGAAAACAATCCGGAGTGGACTCAAATTCAATGTGTGATCGTTGATAAGGATTTTACGGAAATTTCGGTATTGAAGTCCTCACTTCTGTCCGTTTCGGTTTTACTATGTCAATTTCACGTTATCAAGTATCTTGTAGAGGAACTTGCGAGTGGAGTTTACGGGTTTAGTATATACCAGAAAGAACAATTACGCAATTGCATTCGACTCATGGTGTACGCTAGAAGTGAACGTGAATTTGAAAAGCATCGGCGCTACATGAAGCACATGATTGAGCTCGGCTGTGGTAGACGCAGCTATGAATACCAGAACCAGAGCTCTTCGAGATACACTGGTGGTGTTTTTAATGAAGGACCCGAGAATCTTCCGAATGAATTTCTGGAGCAAAGTGGCTACATCATCGATCCATTATCTGTTGAATCAAACGATCAAGAATGGGTTCATCCTTTTGAAGCCTATTTTAAAAAGAACTGGGATACCTGTAAGGAAATGTGGTGCTCCTACACACGGCAGAACGCTGTTACACTTGGTAACAACACCAACAAC